AGGAAAAAAGAGAATGAAAAGAAATCAAAAGTAGTCTTACCTGGATTCCGTCTGCATCACCCTTTGGGTCCTCTCCTGCGGGGACAGTCCTCGGGATTCGCCAGCCTTGCTTGTTCTCGCGCGTTCTCTCTAGCAATCGACACTCAATTCTACTGCCTATAGAAATTAATATGCGTCTAAATCGCGGGCGTTCCGAAGCTTTCCCTTCCGTTTCTCTTCTCTCGTTAGTCGTGTAAGTGTATGTAAGTGTGGAGAGCAAGATGGGCAATAGAGATCGGATTAAGGCACTCGGGTTATTTCGAATCGATCCTTACAATCGGGGATAAGTGGGAAAGAAGAGAGGGGAGGTTGAATTAAGAGCTAAGGGCGATTTGCACGGAGAAAGTGGCTTCAAAGTGGAACGAGCGTGAAGGGGAGGATATGTTGTGCACTTTGGTTCACTTCTCTCTCCGGGTACACTTCTCCAAAACATCATACAAGGGAAAAGGGGGGAGACTCAAAAGATGATGGGGGAGAGTACAGCCGCTTCCTCGATTCTTCAAACATACCTTTTCGGCGAATAATGAATCTTTCTCTCTCTTTTTTTTCTTCGGATGAAGAAGAGAATCGGGGTCGATAAGCAGTATAGATAAAGCAGTTCGCTTTAATCCTCGGCTCGCTGCCTCCGGCTCGCTTTTTATTGCTTCTACAACGTCCGTCGAAGAGGATAGACTCACTCTACTATCACATTTAGCGAGAATATTCTTGGCTCTCGCGTGCCCGTACCCCCTATAAGCGGGGGAGGGTAGGGGGAGGAAAGAAGTGATAGGCGCGTATATCATCGTGTTATCGAGTTACACGCGTGTGTAAAAAATTCACTACAATCTATTTAGAGTATCCCAGGTTCTCGACTAATTACTTTCTCTCTCTCTCTCTCTTTCCCTCTTTCTTTTTCGCTAGTTGTTCTACTTACGATTAACAAGATTGACGAGATCGCGATGTACGCGTGAGATCACTCTTTTTTTTAAAGGCAAGACGATATATATGTATATGTTGTACGATCTCTCTGATCGTGTCTCTACTCTTGATCGCCAAGGAAGACACGAGTACTCGCGTTAAGTACCACGATAACGAAAGGAAAAGCGTAGTCACTTCGCGAGTAAATTGTTTCCTTTTGTGTTCGGAAAACAGTTTGGATTCTCTCTTTCTCTCTCTCTCTCACATTCTGTCTTCTCTAAAGTGATATACTCGGGACTTGGAGGAGTTCTTTCTCCGTGCTGTGGTGGAGCTATCGTATCGGCAAAGCGTATCTACCGATGGGCGGATTCATCATCCTCTTGCACGTCGGATAATGAATCATTTATATCCGCTGCTCTTCTCGATTCTAAGGATCGCAATTACGGTTTTCACCTTAGACAGCTAATCGATCACCTTCTGCCGCGTGAAAACAAAATCGAAAGGTCTTATCATATTTTCCTCGTAAATGCAATAAACACTTTACCAACAACGATATGAAAAAATACATACCTACAAATCCATACGTATATATATATATATATGATGTTTTTCATAAAGTGTTAAGGTGTTTTCTTCGAAGCTTGGCATTGTACAAAAATGTTTCAGGTAAAATTGATGGAGTTTTAACAGGTGAAAAGAGTTGATAATCTTGAATTTTAACTAATTGTAAGATCGTTTTCAAGCTTATGCAAAGGTCAATACAGTTTTTTTTAAATGGAATTATCCTAATTTTTTTATATAAATCGATTCCTCGCAATATTCGGCGTAAAAAGTTATAAGGGTGGGATGGTCAAAAATTGAATAGAATTTTATATTTTAATTCAACATAAATTTTACATAAACTGCCTCGTATATAAATATCTCGTAAAATATTCATTTTTTAATTATTTTATTCAATACTTTTATGTATAAAATAATAGAAGGAATCAACTGACATAAAGAAAAAGAGTAGTTTAAAAAAAAAAATATGTAACTACTTGTTGCAAAGCTCAAAATTCTATCAATTTTATTTGAGACATTTTTTATATCAAGTCGTGAAGAAAACACCTTGGATGTAAAGCACCCTGTATGCACGAAAGATATAAATCATCCATAAATAATATATAAAAGTTTCGACAAATAACTTTTACATCGAAAGAAAATTGGATATTTTTGCGTCGCGAGAAAGAAAAGATCGCCCATCGATAGAGACGCTTTTCTGATCGAATGTAAAGAATGTGAAGAATTAGTTAGTGAGATTTGAGGGATGGAAAGTATCAGGGGTAATCTCTGACTTTTTCATACAACGAAAAATACGCCTACGCGCCTCCAAAAGCTAGTAGAACACACATCTACTTTGACATTATGTAGCAAAACTGTACGCATCGTCTGACTATATGGACACAGTATTATTTATACTTATTAAGGGGAAAGAAATTGGATACATATTATTTATACCCGTTATAGGGGAGAAAATAGGGAAAAGGAAAGAGAAAAAAAACTGGGACAGAGAACGACAATGTGAGGAACGCGTATAGCTGCGTACAGCATAATAAATCGATTATTTCTACATTTTTTTATAAAACACAAAGTAGATCTGTTTTATATCGTTGCAATATTTGCGCCAATATTCGCCCTTTCTTCCTTTCAGAGATTTTAATTCCACATTTTATTATATATCCATTTGTTTCACTGTAATTTAATTTTCATCAAGGTTTTATTAACGGTTTATTCGGGGCAATTTTTTACACAGGATTTAATTAAATTCGCAAAATTTAATTAAATTATTTTTACGTGATAAAGACAATTTCAAATATGTATATGTATGTGATTTTTTATACTAGTAAAATTTTGCAAAATTTTGAAATAGGTATTATGCAAACAATACCTCATTGCAGCTATATTGTTTTTTCTTTTCTTTTTTTTTTTTTTTTTTTTTTTCAAAAAAGAAAGATGATTCTTTGCTCGCAATCGGTATTAATGTTACGAAAGAACGAGATAAAAACTAGTTAACTGCGTTATTCTCACGCAGGAATTAATGGGAAATTAAGAAGGGACGTCAATAAAAATATACGTCGAGAGATATACTCTTACTTGCCGATTAGAGTGCGCCAGAGGTGGTCTAGCTAAGATGCATGCGCTACAACAAATTCGCCGACTGTTTTAAACCACTTAAGAAGCGTAAGGGGTGGCAGGGAAACGGGAGACATAATCATCAAGATAGCTATCTAGAGAAAAAAACGTGGGCGATACTCCCTGGTTGGCCGAAACAGACATGGGGAAACTTTCGAGCAACCTTTCTCTTCGATTGAATCTCCTTAATTGTAATAATCATGATCTCGTATGCGTCATCATATTATCAGTCAACATGTGCAGAATTATTCCAAAATATCATCGTATAACTTTCTCAAAAATTCTTCAAATAATTTAAAGTCTAATTTTTCATTAAGAAACAAAAATATGACACTTGTAATTTTTCCATAATTAACGAATGCAAATGGCATTTAGCAAAAAAAGCTTCAACATTGGATAACGAAATTGTATATTCGGTTGGATTCTCTGATCAGATTTTAAACTTAAAATTTCATCATAAAATCATAAGAACTTAGAAAATTATACGCGAGGAAAATGATAATTTTTTTCCAACATTGTCGAGGAAGAGTCTTATAGAGGAAGCTGTGGCTGAAGATGCTATATGGGGTGCACCTCAGTAATCCTCTTTACACACGGAACAGCAAATAGAGCAACAAGTGATACCAAAGTTGAAAGTCGGCTGACGTTATTGAAGTAAATGTAATATTCTTCTTTACGAGATCTGCATGAGTTTTTGATATTTCTCATACATTTGAGGAGTATAAACTTTCAGAGAGAAAAGTCATGATCAAAAATCCAAGAAGATGTATCTTCAACAAACTAGTTTAAAGGTAATATTTTAAAGGTACAACGCCACGAGGGGATAAATTTAGCTATTAAAAGAATTTTACATCATCTCATCATACATAAAAATCATACATTAATTTATATTACTATCAATTTCAACAGAGAAATCAAAAAATATCCATTACTAATCATCAGATAATTAAAGCACAAAATATAACTTTTATGATACGAGTTATGTAAAATTCAAATTTTAATTCTATAGAAATTATTTTAATTTTATAACTATTTGTAAAATTTATATTAGAAAATAACATTATATTTCTCGGGAAAAAAATGAGAAAAAAATCAATTAATATTAGATTCATATAATTTATATGTAAAAAAAAAATTGATATTGCAACATATTAAAATGATGTGAAAATTTTCATATTTCGAAACTTTCATTTTTTTCTTATTCGGAGGTTTCGGATTCCGGGGAAATAATTTTTAACCCTTGTTTTTGGACCAACCAGAGAGCGGCTCGAAACGAGCGCCCAGCGGGGTTAACGAGACTATAATTACGATTTAATATTAATTAGCCAATCAGGGCGGGTTGCCACCCCCGCGGGGCGCGCATGTTCTACCAGGGGCGTAAAACACAGGCGTTCGATTGAGCGAGTTAGTGATAAGAATTCAAAACAATGATTATAATTACGAGGAATAGTAATAAGAAGGCCGATATTGTACAATGTATATAATACGCTAAGTAATACATACATACATACATATATGTATGTATATGTACACATGTATGTATGATATATATATATATATATATATATATATATATATATATATATTCGACTAAATAGACAGTAAGAAGGAACAAATAAACGTATATAATAAGTAAGATAGAATAATCAAATATATATACAGCACCAACGTAATTACTTTTTGCCAACAAGTTAGGCAAGAAAGATACGAGGTTTATCAATAATAAATTACAAGGTGAGAGGGGGGGATCGCAAATACGGATGGAGGAAATTTCTGGGGAGATTTATAGCTATGGGTGACTGGAAGGAAAGTAGAAGGTGGGGAAGGGCGGGGGGCGAGGGGGGGGGGCAAGTGAGAAGATACAAAGGAGAGATACACAAATAGAGGTTAGCTACAAGTTTTAAACGACTACTTTATTGGCAATTTTTTTTCTAGGCATCAACCTATACTAATTTTACGTTACGTTTTCGTTCGTGTTGCTGTCGTTCTTGGCGTGCGCCAACTAGCGTACTCTTGCGTTAGCGTCGTATATCTTCCTGTCTAGTATGCGTGTACGTTTATATGCATTTATGTGTGCACGTGTATGTGGTCGTATGCATCGCGCACGCGCTCGGACGCAAACGTCAAAATAATCGCCGCCGGATAATCGGTTTTCTTTCCCTTGCCCGATCGAGATAAGATAGGCCCAGATAAGCGAACGGAGGAAAGAAAGGGGGCAAACAAAACGGAAATGCGATATAAAATGGAGAAGAGCCCGAACGTTTACATTGGCATCGCCAATACGTTACAACTGATCTGAAGGGAGGAGGGAGGGAGGGGGGGGGAAGAAACCGAGAGTTGGCGACTTTTTGGATGAACGATGGGATGAGAGGAGAGAGTACGAGCCCCCGTGATCGATCGTCGCCTCCATCCCCGGGGTGACTTTGCATGGCGAACCCCCTTTCCCGCCTTTCTTTCCTCTTCCTCCTTTCGATTGGCGATCGAATTGGCTTGCGTCGCGACGCGCGTTTTTATATTTCAATAGGAACCCAACAATTATCCCCTTTATGGCACGCACGTGTGTGGCTGGCACGTAAGAATCTAATAAACGATAACACAAAGTGGCGGGATAAATTAAGGGAACATTTAAGAGAGCCGCGACTCGCGGGCACGCACGCGATGCGTCACGTGTTGGTACGAATATAAAGAACACGTATGTGTGTGTGTGTGTGTGTGTGTGTGTGTGTTTTGTAAGAGTCGCTAATAATAATGATAATAATTATAATCGTAATAATAATGACAAGCACAATAATGATGCTGATGCGTAATAATAATAATAATAATAATAATAATAATAATAATAGTAATCAAGAATATTAATAATAGTAATAATAATAATAATTGTGAGATAATGGCGATAATGATAATGAATAGCAGTAATAATAGTAATGCGATTCGAGTATCGAGTATATCAGCGCTTACGCAATTAAGACGTTGGGAGTGTTAAGAGGGACGTGCGTATGTTTGCATGTACATACATTACACAGTTCGATTTCGTTCTCCGTCTTCCTTTCTCTCCCTCTCTCTCTCTCTCTCACTCTCACTCTTTCTCTTTCGCTTCTCCTTTCTTAGATTCTTTCCCACACATATGTACATATAAGTATCGATCTTTCGTCAGACAATTTCTCGGTTTTTGTCCGTAATGTTCCACAGTCGGGCGAAGGTTGCTTGGGAAATTTGCACGGAAGGGGGAAATTAAGTAACTAGGCGCGGGGAAGGGGAGATGCCCGGAAGACTCGAAGTGAAAATAGTAAAGCCAAGGATTGTTCGTTGTCGTGCAAAAGTTAAAAATATCTCGTCGACAAGTGTTGACCGATTGAATCTTGCACGAAAAAAATTACACGAGAGGCAAAGAGGAATTAATATCCGGGATAACAAAATTGCTCTAATCGCGTAATTAAACGAGAAGATTTGATTCAACGAGAAAAAAAGCGATAGAGAATCGTGAGGCTTCTTTTTTCTTTTTTTTTTTCTTTTTTTCTTTTATTCTCTTCTCTCTTGAATATATTTCGAGCAATGACGTTCGTGTCGACGGGAAAGCGGAAGTGCAAACGGATCGTAATGAGAAAAGCGGAAGACGGAGGAGGGAGGGGGGGGGAGGAAGAGGTTTCGGAGGAGAATCAAAAAGGTGGATATGAGACGATTAGGGGGAAAGATATTTCAACCAGCATGCTTCACCTACGTTTCATACACAACTAGTGATGGTTAGAGCGCTCATCAAAAAATACCAGCTACGCTAATAATTACTAACAACATTCGCAATATGTATATATATATATATATGTATATATGTATATGAGATACACAATTGTCAGACTGAGATACAAAATATATATTACATATATTATACATTATATAATATATATAATATATATAATATATACATATATACTAAGGGATGTTACGTGGAACTGGACCAAATCGGGAAAGATCGAAAGGATCGGAAGGAGGAGCTGTGCTAATCGGAAGAGAGAGATGGCTTTCACCGTGGTGATATTTTTTTCCTCGACAATGACGGTGTCATTGGGCAGATATTAGAGGTAAAAACACCAGACAAGGCGAGAGAGACTCGATTTTCGCCGCGCGAAAATCGTGGAACTTATCTGTCACCGTCGACGATGACGATGATTTCACATTGACGCTGAAAATTGCCGGAGAACGAAAATACGCGACAACCCGCGAGATTCACGAGACGAGATTATCAGCAGACACGAGTCCCCAACCCTTTATAGGGATAATTGTGGTTGCAAAAAAAATTAGCACACGAATCTTGTAAAATAAAGCAGTATTTTGCGTGGATGTTAATCAGCTTGTCTAAAAAATTATCGACCCTTGCTGCCCTGTAAAGGGTTGCTTTACCGAAGCCACGATCGATCTCGTCTCTAGTGCTCGACGTCTTAAGACTTGTTTGCAACGCATCTCAACGACGTTACAATACACCGTACGTTATGGGCTATAATGGATTAGACTACATCCCTCGATCTATATATCGATCGTATATGATTATGAGGCTTTACATACTTATGATTTAATTATAATTGCATATTCAAAATGCAAGGAATAATTCGCGCGTCGCGGAACGAATTGACATGTGTGCGATATTAACTTGTCGCGAGAGTTTATGCGAAAGCAATATCGGATTGAAGATTCCCTATTACAGCTCATAACGGTTCGCTGATAAGATTGCAAAATCGTCACAGAGGGTGCGCTCGGTCAAATTATCGCGTTTCTTTTTCCCCTCCCTCCCGCTCTCTTTCTCTTCTCGTCGGGATAACTGACGATGAGACACTTCCGAAATGAACAGATCAGGGAAACGTCCGAGACTTTGATGTTTCGCGACTCGTACGGCTAAATTTATTGCTGAGAAATTTTACGAGTAACCCTTCCATCTTCGTCGAGCCGACAGGAGTAGAGTAAATCGCGAGCCGTTATTATTTAACGATACATCGTCCAATTTCCGAGATACCCGAGGGACAGTCCTCGATTTGCAGTCTCGATGACGATCCGTCCGGAGAATCGCGCTTCTCCGGGACGATTGAGGCTTGTTTCGACCCGTAATGGAAACGTACAATACCGGTCAAAAGTGTTGCATCGCTTGTGAACACAAGGTAGATGTTATTCAATGAAAGAAAAAACTTATATTAATATTATCAAATTATATTTTATTACTATTATTTCAATCATAACGAGCAACCTGACCTAAATATTGAATTTCTGATCCTTCAAAATAGTTTCCCTCTGCATTCAATGAGTTTTTTTTTTTAAATTGTTACTGAATACAGGTTACATTTTTTTCGATTCTTTTACAAAGTTCGTCCCACGATAGTCTTATCGAATTAAGCTTCGATAATTGAGAGAGGAAGGTTATTTTGAAGACTCAAAAATTTAATATTTGTTATAATTTTTAATTTTTACGACATGTAAAGAATAAAATATAAGTTGATAATATTTATACATGTTTCTATTACATTAAAGTAACGATTTTCCTGCTTTTCTAACAATAAGTAATGCAATACTCTTGATCAGTGCTGTATAGAAACTAGGTAGGGATACTAGGGATTTTTTGCAACCAGAGTTTTGAAAAAAACAGGGCAGATTTCGGCGAGATCAAAAAAATGTCGATTTTTACCGCGAAAAAATCTCTCGAAAAGATTTCTCGAGTGTGGATCTACAGGTGAAGGATTTTACCTTTTGTTGTCGAAAATTTGAACTCGCCGAAATTGCCCCCGATTCTCGCATCTTCGAGAAAATTTCGCGGAATCGTCGAGCATTCGCGAGCGTCCGTCGCGGAATTTCTTCGCTTCCAGAAGGCAACTTTGAAAATAAATACATCGGGAGAACGCGTACGATGGTTCGACGACACCGGCTCGAAAAATCTCCTCGGGAAAACAGCCCCGAACAGAGCCTCTCTCTCTCTCTCTCTCTCTCTTTATCCTTCTTCCGTTAATAAAAAAAAAATATTATAATACAAAAAAAACAGATGTTCTCGAAAAATTTTTTATTTTCACTTAGAAAAAATGTTCGCGCCCGCGAGCAAGAAAAATGAGAGAGAGAGAAAGAGAGAGAGAGAAATGGGAGGAGAGATATGATGGACCGAAGACGGAGGAGGAAAGCGGGGTCCGCAGAAGTGTCTATCGAGAATGAAAACTGCGATCTTCTCATTTTTCGCGTCTACTGTCTCCTCGTCCATTGTTCGTCCCGTTTGTTTCTCTCTGAACGTTTTCGTTCTTACTTTTGTATAATATATCCCCTTAATACGTCATAAATATCACTCGCGAGTTTTTTGTTTATCCTTAGCATTACGGTGTGTATGTATATAATTATATATTTTTTTGTTCATATATATATATATATGTATATTAAAGTATATATATATGTGTAGTATCACTAGAGAATATTACTTGTTTCGGAAGGATCGGAGATCCTTCCCAATCCCCAACGCTCTCGGATCCTTCCCTCGCTTTATCGCTCGTTTATTATTATCCAAATCCTTTCGCATCTCGAGTATTCGTATATTTATATACCTAGGAGATTATCTCATCTATCGATTACGCGCGCAAAGGCGCCGACGCATTTTGTATTTTCGTTAATAATACTCGTATAATAATAGTGTAGTTTAAAGTTTGAGTCAATCGCTTATTGCTCGAAATTTCTCACATCCTACATACGACTCCTCGTCGAAGACGCCCCGTGTTCGTCCCGCCGACGACGACGACCCTCTCTCATCTAAATTCCATCTCCCAATCCCATCCGGAAAGAAACTACTGAAAATATTCGCGAAATACTCGTCGACACCGATCGACGAAATGAGATCATTCGGGCGAACCAAACGCCCCTTCTCCCCCTCCCCCTGTCATACATGCACTTGATATTCCTACAGACTATCGGTAATGTACGAGATAAAAAAAAAACTAGAGGTAAAGAAAATAAATTAAGCGAATATCGCGCGGCGAATCTACGGTCGCGCGAAACAACACTTGAGAAACTTACGAACTAAGACACATCGACAATTTCAAGCGCTGCATTGCGCTTTAACGAATAATTTAAATAATTAAAATAAAGCAAAAAAAAATGTAAAAGGGACGGGATAGATATCGATTGGAGGAAACTTCGCGTATTTACACGAGAGTTTGACAAGCTGGCGCAAATCGTCGCAAAGACACATTTAAACTTGAATACTTGTCGCGGCGAGTCGATCTCGGGGCGTATAAATTAAATATCTGTCTCTCTTTCTCTCACATACTCTCTCGCACAAATATCTTTTTAATAATACCTTCCTCACGAGTGCCTTAACTTACGCGACTTAAGACTTAAATACCTAATTTATCGCTTGAGTTATACGTGAGCTAATCTCAATCTTGAATTCCCGTTTCTCGCAGTTTAACGTACAGTCGCACAAGTTCTCTTAAGTGTATTTATAAAGATGCGTAATATAATAATATCTCTTAAGTATCTGTCTCTCGCGCGCGCGTCCGGGGGGAAAAGCCCTCCCCCCTGTATTACTTATTGTTACGAGTTATTCGCTTAAGTATCTATATCCGCTATCATCAATAATGCTATCTGTGTGGGTGTAGGTGTATGTGTGTGTTTGCTTAAGATTAACTTAAATAAAACTGCCGACTCGTCCTCTCTTAGGAGCTCATTAAGTGACGCCGATCGCTCGCGGCTTACATCGCGTGCGCATGATACTGTCGATCAATTTCTTAACAACTATTCAGCGCAATACATCCCTTTGCGCGGATTACAATCGCTAAAAGTCTTATTTGTTCGACGCGACTCGAATTTAATCAAATTACATTCGCGTGTATGTGTATATTATATGTATTGTGTGTGTGTGTATCGCTAGTCTTATTTAACGCGATGGAGAGCGGAGAAATATTGTCTTCCATTATTTGAAGAAAAATATATATATATATACGTGTGTATATATGTATCTATACATTATACATAGTCGTACACGTGTCCCCCTCGTGTTGTTCCTCATCGTGTGTGTATCGTACGTATGTAATCTCGAAAGGGTCTGCTCGTTCGCGCGAAATGGATTGTATGTGTGGTGACCTGTTGCCTCTGGAAATGCGAGAGGAAACGCGAGCTTGGAAGCGCGATGCGACGAAGAGGATCGTGAAGGAGTCCGTCGTCGTGTCGTTGTAGTCGTCGCTCGGACCTCGGAATAAAGACAAAGCGAGAGAAAGTGAAATGCCTCCCTGCCCGTTTACGTTCGTTTGGCACTTGACGCGAATCTAGTCTCTCTAACATTAAGTCTTTCGCTATCGATTCGACTCGCGCTGACGAAGAAACAGAGTCCGAGCGGTCGGTGTGTGTTTTACTCTGAAGACGCGTTCGGGTAAAATCGGTCTTATTTTCTCACTCGATTGGTATCTCTCATTCGTACGCATCGCATTCGTACTTCAGTCTCTGGCGAAGGCAACTCGACAATGTATTTTGGCGGAATATGCGCACATGTATCATCATCATCATCATCATCATCAAGAGACATGAGAAAATGTATACATGTAAAAAAAAAAGAGAGAGGAAGTAAGGGGGCAACCGGGCGAACTTTTTGTCTCGAACCTTGCGCGGCGGAAAGTAAATCGTTCACCGCCTCTCGCATTTTTCTCTTTTTATTGCTTCGTGGCCAGAAAACGGCCGGGAACAAGTAAGAAACTAAGAGACTATCGCTAATGGATCGCGTTGATTAACATAACGAGCATAGATGAGGCGCGATTCAAGTCTATAACGCGTTAATCTAAATAGGAACCAAAGTATACGCAATGACTTGTGATCGTGAGAAATGGATATGAATCGGAGACGCGATAACGAAAGACAAATGGGATCTGAAAAAATAATAACACGTAATGAGGCTCATCAGCCTCGATCCTCAGCGCGACGCTCTAAATAAATTAAATAATTAAGTATGACGTTAAACGCAAAAAAATGTTCGTTTTGGAAAAACAATCCAATATAATCCTTTCAATCTGATCTTACGAGCTTCGCCTCGCGCACCTAATTCTAGTCGTCACTTTCACCCGAGAGATCGTTTATTCCCTTGACAATCTTTGCTTTTCGCTCGAGTACGAAACGATTGAAATTTCAGCTTTCTTTATTGGATCCGTTCCGCTTGTAAGCTTTTCCACGTGTGTATGTGTGAGTGTACGTGTACGTGTGTGTGTATGATTTCATCCCGTAACAAAAGTATCGAAGAATCCATCATCCCTACTAGCGTCGCTTACCGGTGATGCGAGAACGACCAATGAAATGGCGATCGGAAGCATCAAGTCGGAAGTTATCTTCGTCGAGAGTATTTTCATTGTCTCGTCGCTGCAGTTTTGCAAGCGGTGGGCCATTTTCCTCCACGAGACACTTTGAATTCCCTCGATATCGAGGGAATGGAAAGGCGGGGGTGATTTCGCAGGCATTCGACCTCGGAGAGTACAAACACGTGGATTTGTTCGTTCGCCGGATCCCAAGGTCGTGGCGGCGACGTCTCCGCTTTAAACGTACATCCCCATCCCGTACATGGATCCCCAGTCGACGCCCTGGAAGCTCGACATGTCGACGTTGGTGAGCGAGTAGCCCTGATAGGGATTGCCGGGCGCCGCGGCAGCGGCCGGTGACGTCGCCGCTGCCGCGGCTGCAGCCGCGGCCGCAGCCGCACCGTGGTTCGGCGCCGGTGCCGCGGGTGCGGCTGGCGCCGCGGCAGCCGCGGCCGCCGCTACTGCCGCGGCCGGTATCGGATACGGCGCGTATCGATACGCGGAGAGGGCCGGATAGCCGCCGGTAGCGGCAAACAGCTTGCCGTAACCCGCGACCGCGTTCTGCACCTGCGCCGCCGCTGCCGCGGCTGCGGCTGCCTGCACCTGCGCGGCCTGCGCCTGCGCCGCGACGAGCTGCGAGGCAGCCGCAGCGACAGGCAGCGGCGGTTGCGGTGCGAGCCGCACGCCGAGGGCGCCCAGGACCACCCGTTTGCCGAGGGCGAGAGCGCCCGGCTGCACCGCCTCCTTGGGCTGCGCCTTCTTGCACTCGACCTTCTTGTTCTTGATGGTGTGAAAGTGTATCTCGCATACGCGGTCGACGACGTCCTCGTTTTCGAACGTGACGAAGCCGAAGCCGCGGTGTCGTTTGGTCTGCTGGTCCATCAGCATCACCGTCTCCTCCACCTTGCCGAATTGATTGAAGTAGGCCTTGACCTCGTCGCTGCTCGTGTCCTGACTGACACCGCCCACGAAGATCTTCTTGGTGCGATTGGCCTGTTTCGCGCGGTTCTTCGGCGTCGCGTGCTTCGGATCGATCTTCTTGCCGTCCAGGGTGTGGATGGGACACTTGAGGACTTTGTCGACGCTACCGGGCTCGGCGAACGTGATGAAGCCGAAACCGCGGCTACGCTGCAACCGAACAAGCCGAGAAACCGGCACGATGCACATGGACCGTCTATTGCGTCCCGCCCCTCTTTCCTGAGACTGTTTCTCTCTCGCTCTCGCGATCAAACCGCTCCGACATCCGGACTCATCGAGGGACGACCGCGTCTATCTCCACCTTCGCTCGACTTATCGCAAGACTGACGAATTGGAACGAGTTCTCGTGATCATGTGAAACATCATTTCGCGATCCAGATATAACGACGCTGAATTTATTCATCCTTCGAAACAAAATATAATAGAGGGCTTATTTTGCAGAAATCGTTTGTCGGGCATTTATCGATTTCTAGCTTGCTAGAATGATCACCAAAACTGGTCCCTTCGTCTTCTCCTAATCCGTAGCGGTTTCGATCCGAATGTAAGATCCGCTTCCTGATTTCGTGCGAAATTATCCTCATCTTTATCCTGTCGTTGGTGATCTCGTAGCTCTTGTTATGAACGGTTAACTAGTGCTACCAAACTACCATTTGCATGCAAGACTGTCCAAGCCAATGTTTAAGACAAACATTCTAATGTTACGTGAAACAAAGACTGCGATAAGACTCAAATCCATTACGAACGTTAAGGAGCTACTGATATGTATAATATATATATATATATATATATGTATATACGTATTACATCTTTTTCTCTGCCCCACCCTCTCGTACGCGAAATCTCCGTTCGTCTACTCGCATTCGATATTTTCTCCCGCTTGCAAATCCGACAAGAAAAAGAAAAAAAAAAAGAAATAAAGAGCAACTGCCTTTCCCCACCTTTTTTAAAAATATAATGCGATTAATAAATACCTAATACAATCTACTCTCTTCTCTTGATACTTTATATCAGCAATTAATTACACCGATTAGTACAACTTTTCATCTACTACGGTCTACTACGTATATAGTTTCGTGCAAAAAGTGGAAGGAGAGATTGCTTGGTGCATCGAATCCTGTCGAGGTAAAAACTCCTTTCTCTCGCGACTTCTTCGCGGCCGTACCCCGCAATGCACGAGAGTCGGGGTGGGCCCGGAAATCGTTTGTGGCAAAATCAATCTGGCGCGGCATAGAAACGCGATTTGGAAACGCGTGGGCAACTTGCGTGTACGAGGCTGTTTTTTTTCGTAATAACTAAACAATGCGAACTTAATCGAAGCAACGTACGCCATTATTAATCATCGAAAATGTACTCTAGGAAATTGACATGGCGAGACATTTAAAACTCTTTGAACATTAAACAAATTTAAAAGTAACAAAAACTCCCTCTTAAGAAAATTAAAGAACGTAATTCGCCCATGTAGATTTTTGACAAATAATTTTGAGGGTGCTTGGATCCTCTCAGTCGACAAAATCGGCCTAGAAATATTTAACACAAGAACGTTGGTCAAGTGTCAAACAGCCTCGTACAACAAGACTATAAAACCGTAATTGATCGGGCGAGCAAGCCGAGAGTTATGCTCGGGATTAGGTGGACCGACCTGTGTGACCGGATCCTTCATGATGAGGACGTCGGTGACGGTGCCAAACATGCCAAAGTACTCCCGCAGCTTCTCGCTGCTTGTCTGCCAGGAGAGGCCGCCCACGAAGAGCTTTCCCGGCGCCGGGTCTCCGCCGTTTGGTGTACTCCTGCCGGAGCTGCCCGAGTGGCTACCGTTTATCGGCACCAGCGTGTTGTGGAAGTCGTGCTCGATCGCGCCGTTCGTCGCCTCCATGCCGGCGCTGCGAATAATCAAAGATAAATCGTTAGAGAAGGAAGCATCAAGGAGTTACTGTTGTATGAGACTCGCCAAGTACCATTAAAAGCCTAGTACTTTAGAGGATAAAAAATCGATCTTCTTCTGGAAGTTTGATATCTAAAGAATATGTCTTTTAAATTTTTATTGAAAAATTCTTTAAATGGATTACCGCGGTGTCTTTAAATGGATCTGCAAAACTTTAAGTGCGTTTTTTTCGAAACGTTTTCAAATGTAACAATAAAATTGGCTGAAAGTAATAATAATAATTACTGACAAAAATGGCAAATAAGAGAGTCCAGATTTTTCCTTTTTTATTAATGTATTAATGTTTTCAAAGCGGATGTGACAAGTATCTTGAATTTACGGACGCAATAATTTTAATTCTTTTTTAGAAAAAACTTTTTTAGAAGACACTTTTTTTAGGAAATAAATTAATAATAGAATTTAAGAAATTAATATTTTTTTTATCTTAAAGACATGAATAAATTTTAGCAAAATTAAAATATATAATTTTTAAATGATGCTACTTTATTATTTTTTAATTTTCTCTAATAAAATTCAGTAATAAAATAAAACCGAATGGATTAAAGTAAATTTATTCATTTCAATTATATAGAAAAAGCAATCTTGTTACATCGAACACTTTACAACAGAAATTTATATTAAAAAAAAAAAAATATAAGATTTAAAATGTACTAACTTACTATTTCAACATCAATAAAAACATGTGAAAACGTCAAAAAGATAAATTTCTAATATTCTTTAAAAAAAATTCTCAAAAGTTATTAATTTTTCATACAGCTAGTGTAGACTAGATTCTTAATAATTTTTTGCAGGAACATTTTCTACAAAAAAAAACTTCTACTATTTTTTTTTATTTCCTAACAAACATTTCAAATTGTCCATCTCCCCCAGGAGAGATTTTATGCAAGGATTTACGCTAAATTAACGAAACACTTGCGTTAAATATAATTGACTAAATAATATTCGTGCGCGATTACATCTCACTGCACAACAGCTGTGACAACTTATCATATAACTATAAGTTTGTGGGGAAAGCATTCGTGCGGAGGGCGATAAGCATCTGACAAATATCGACAGCTTTATTAAGAGTTTGTGCGCTCGTACATAATTTTTTTTTTCTGTTTCAGTTAATACCGCTCGCCTTCGTATCAACTTGCGTGATGCTCGCCATACCATTCATGGCATACCATAGATTGTTTGTTACCACGATTGACGTTCAGTAAGTTTCTTGCAATGCTACCTCAACTTTTCTCTCGATACCGTAAAATAAAAAAAAAGATCTCATATCGCGCGGTAGAAATAATATATGCCATTTCGCGAAGTAGGACATCAGACGTCAGTAAAACCCAAAAATAGCACTCAATTTGTCTATTTCTGAAAACAATCTATGTATAACGATAATGTGTTACGGTCACTGTGTCGTCTGTCGAGAGGCCAACGGCCTTGGAACCTAGTTCTATTTTACATACTAACTTTTACTTATATCGTGTTATTGAGCAACTGTCCGCTTGTTGAAAAGGAGCGAATATAAATTTCCTAATGAAAACAAAAGCGCGCACTGATTACATTTAAAAACAATAACACTTTACAAATCCTTTCATTGAATAAGCGCAAAAAAGAATTTCTCGTCTTTTAGGCTGACCGATTATCAGAGATTCGAGATCCCGTCTGTACCGAGATTTTACGATCTGCGAAATCCTCGTTCCTTAAAGGTAAATTGTCTATAAAATGCTTCTCTTATTCATTTCTTATTCATCTACGATATCGTAAAAAAATTTTTTTAAGTATTTTTTTAGATTAAGAAAATATATATTAAAAATTATATTAAAAATTTATATTAATAAAAAATATATTATATAATTATAATAATTATATAAAAAATTTACATTGTATTATAAATTTTTTTATATTAAAAAAAATTTATATTAAAGAATTCTTTTCTATGTTTATAGTAACATTTCAAAAATATTTCTTTTCGATGAAACAATAATATGATATTGTGAAAATTTCAGAAAAAAAATATTTTCTTACGGAGAAAAATATATATTTTTAAATTAAATAGAATTTTTTACATCTATAGTAATCATAAAAATTTCCAAAATATATTTTTTTTAAATTTCTACGATATCATAGATGATGAAATTTTTATAATTATTGTAGAAAAATGCTATTTCATAAAACAAGATTCTAGATCTAAAACAGAATATATATACACACTTGCTCTTCTGCTTTTGGTCAAGCCACGGAATAATCGATAACCTCGTGAAAAAACGCAATATATTTACTCATCTTATTTTTTATAATAAATGTCCAACCAATAGTGACTCTAAATATATTTATATTTTATTATTAAAGACAATTAGAGAGAATGTGAACGCGCCAATGTCTGGTTAATTATCGTGCAAAACAATCGTTTAAAACAATTAATTAAGAGCCGCATAGATAATTGATACGTATCCTGTGTACTTTTCAAGCAGGACAGGGGGAGAGGCACACAATTCTGCGGCGGTGATTCTGTACCTCATCGTCCTTAACTTGTATTAATTATTTTTACAATTATATTGATTATCGCGTTATCGTTTCCTTGCCTACTACGTTTATATTTGTTGTCGCTAAATAATTCACGTTACGATTGAACTGCGTTTTGCGAATGCAACAGCTATGTCGATCGCGCCGAAAAATCGAATATGCTTCACTCCCTTCCCTGTAATCGGTAAATTGCTCTCGTTGTAATTTTCCAAATCGAACGCCAAACCTTCAAGTCGAATGGAACGACTTTACGTTACATACTATTATAATGTTATTATACATGTCGCGTTGCTGTCCGCCATAAAGCAAGGCAATCCTCGCGGATAGACATCCCGATGGATCGTTACACATCCTCCTTTCTCGGTCAGAGATCTCATATTCTATAGAGAAAGAGAGAGAGAGAAAGAAAGAGAGAGAGAGAGAGAGAGAGCGAGAGAGAGAGAGAGAGAGAGAGAGAGAGAGAGAGCAAGAGCGAGAGAGAGAGAGAGCGTAACAAACCAATACCACACCACCATCCAAGGTGGTTGGAGGATCTCGCAAGAGAGATACGCGAACGTAACGTAAGAGAGAAACTACGGTCGTTTCGTTCGTGTATATCTAACCGGAGATATATACCATGCCCGTCGCGCGGTGCCTTTTCCCTCAGGATCCACACAACGCGTCGTACATTCACCAGCACCGGCGGCGGTGGCCGTTACGAGGTGGATGAAACGAGGGAGAAAGAGATAGAGATGGGGAACGCGGGAGAGAGAGATGGCTGCGCGTTAGCCCGGTTCGGATATATCGCCGCGAGCGGCATGGTCGACATGCGCGCTGCAAAGGGGATGTCGCGGGGGGGTTGTTGAAGCAAGATGGAGAACGCGAGGTGAAGCGGAAGGTTCCAGCGAGGGAGAAAGAGACAGAGGAAGAGACAGAGGAAGAGAGAGGAAGAGAGAGGAAGCGAGAGGAAGAGAGAGAAAGGGAGAGCCGGGAGGGTCGAAGCGAAACGAGCGAGTCGTTTGGGGTTGGGAGTGGCGCGGCGGGGTGGGATGGGGTAGGAGGGGGTGACGCCGACGAGAACGCGCAGCTGGTGGATCAATACACCCACCCCTCGCGCGGATCCTCTCGGCTTCGCTCCGCTCCGCTCGGCTCGGCTCGGCTCCGCTCGGCTCGGTCATGTTGTCGACAACCCCCATCTCACTTCTTTCTTCCTTCCTTCCTTCTCTTCTACCCTGCCACCCCCGAAAAAGCCCCCGTGGATCGGCCTCGGCGCGGAAAACGTCTTACGACGCCGTCCATCGTCGTCCACCTCTCTCGTCTCTCCCTTTCTTCGACGTGATTATTAAACTCCTTCTTTCTTTTCCCTCGTTCCCTCTTCATTTCCTCTCCAGTTCTTCTTCGAGAGAGACGTTTATTGGCGTCGATATCGGAGAATTCCCGCAGACAGGTTTTTTTTTTTACTTAGAAAGATGCAGGTCGGGAAAAACGGTTTGAGGATGTATCAAGTTCGCGTTTTCCCCGCCATTTATCATCAAATGACACGCACACAATTGTTGAATTGTTGATTTATCTGTCAATACTCAAAATGTCGTTTCTTAAGACGAAGTTATTTCGGAGATTTATTTTCTTGTCGATTGTCTCCCGTTTAGTCCAGAAGAGGGAAATCGATCAATGGGACATCCACTGGGAATATATTTCGATGAAATGCCATAGAATAAAGCTTGAAGAAACTCGTGGATCCGCATCATTCTCATCGACGAACGAGTTTTATCGATCTTTGGAACTTCCGCGGATTTTCACGTTTTTCGCGCTCCCTCGTTGAACGATAACGACATCCATGCATTTTGCTTGCTCTCGTTATCGGGTCGTTAGCTCATTGTTTTGCGGATTTAAACTCGCGTTGCAAAATAATAATTTTCGCGTTGCGCAGATTGAATTTTCCTCTCTTGTGCGCTTTGCGGTTATCGAACGTCGCGAAATTGAGATATCACCCCGTAAACTGAGATTAAAAAACGTTTAACGCGGCTTCAGCGGAATGCGATTGAGCAATCAGCTGGTTGGCTGGATGCGGCTCGTTGATTGTTTAATCAAGCCGCATCGTTATCGAGAGAAATCGGCTTATGGTTTATATACATTCATCCGGATAAATAAATCGGTCCCGTGGGACAATACATGATCGTAGGTTCGATGGAGCCGATCAAACGCGCGTTATCAAATTCACAAATGTCCACGAAGCAAACAAGTCCTATCCCTGTGCTTCTCCTCCTTTCTCCATCGATGACCTCGATCGTCTTACACGTTTCAACGAGATACCAGGACGAAGCGTACAGGTGTAAAAGCAAACGATAGAGACAAAAAAATGTATAGAGAAAGAAAAAAAAGAGACAAAAGAGAGACAGGGAGAAGGGAGTGATACATACATATGCATGCAAAGATACACACACACAACTA